ACCCAGATCCACTACCATGAAGGGCTTTATAGGTGGCAAGTAGCGTATCTGGAGATCGACAGGTAGCCAGCGCAGCTCGCGGAGGATAGGTGTTAAGTGGGTGAAGCGAGGTACACCCACAATCGCTCGCGCGGCTGCATTCTGGACTAGCTGAAGTCGCCGAATACTCCTCAAGGGCAGCCCCATTGTTTGGCCTTTTGAGTAAAGGGTGAATGAACATCCTGGAATGCCTGGAAGAGTCTGATTATTGCTGATGGAGCAATAATAAAGCATGATGGAGGAAGAGGAAGGACTGGATTCTTTAGGCATAAGCTAAAAAGGTAGATTTTCCTCTGTCTACTTTGGAAACATTAGAAACAGAGTATTTCACATATGGTAATAGACACAGAGGTGTATAAAAGCATGCAGACATGCACAGAGAAAACAAACAGGAAGGTTTTTTTTTCTCCAACTCTCAAAACAATAGGAGCAAGGGCTGATTCGACGGGAAGTTCTCCAGCTGGACAGATGAGGGAGGTGTGAGCTCTGAAGAGTCTCACATGAACTCTGTCTGACAAACCAATTCTGAGAACCTTTTTGGATCAGACAAAAAATTCATTGGGTTTGACAGTGGTATAGGGAAAATTGAAAAGGGGGGATGTGTCCCAACAAAAGGAAATAAAAATCAGACAAAAGATTTTATTGAGGTTGACAGAAGCATAGGGAACACTGTAGAGGGGGTTATGCCCCCAACAAAGAGAAATACAAAATATTTCACTGGGTTTGATAGTGGCTTGGGGAAAATTGACGAGGGTGGACATGTCAAAACAAAGAAAAGGGATAAGACAGGAATTGAGAAATGGGACAAAAGACTTACTAGAGAAAAAAATCAGGTAATTAAAATCTGTTATATGGGAAATACAAAGCTGAGATATGTTGTTTACTCCTATACATAATAATAAAATTGAGCTGCTAACTGATTGAATATGATAATGGAAAGATAATTAAATAGAAGTTAAAATATATGGAATAGGGGCAAATATGAAACTGTTATAGGGAAAATGTAAAGCAGAGGTATGTGATTCACTTTTATACATAATAATTAAACTGAATTGATAATTTATTGAATATGACATTGGAAGGACAAATAAGTATGGGTTAAATATATATGAAACATGGATGCCTATAGAACTCCTAAGATGATGAACAAAGTGAGATGTGTATTGCTTGTTATTCTATATAGTAGGTTAATGGAATTGTAATAAACATTGAACAATAAGGATTTAATGATAATTAAGGGTAACCTAAGCCAAGATATGGAAAAATGTAGAGGGAACATGGAATATACCTTCAATGGGAAATTATTGAGATTACAAATACAGAATCACAATTTTGGGGTGTGTAAAGATGCATAATTATATAAATATAATGATGAGAATAGCTGGGAATTGTAACCAGGTCTACATCTCACCTAAAAATAGACTGGAGGAGGGTTTAAAAATACAATTACAATATGTATACTTGAAGTTGATGGTGAGATGAATTGATGTAAACAGTTAATAATATAATAAGATGTGTACACATGTGGCTATATGTTATGAAAATGGAAAAAAAAATGGGGAAAAAACTTTATATATAAAAAAACAATAGGAGCAAGGATCATCATTTGAATCTGACAGGAAAAAAGATTCAGGAAAGATAAAAGTCTTTATCACACAACAAAAATTTGGAATTCATTGAACAAGACAAAGTCATTTCTAATTACCCATCTTGGATAGGTTTCAAAGAGGTTAGATTACCTGGCTGACCACTTGACAAACCAAAAGCTAAACTAAGATAGATGTTGGCTCGGTCCATCAAGGCCTTTCTTACATTCTTACAAGATAATTTTTAGCTAAAAATGGTCTAAAAAGTGCAACCCTGTTATTATCCACTGTAGATATACCGTTCTGAAGAACTGAGTTAGAACTGAAGAAGTTTCTTAGATGAGAAGCGAAACATTTTCAAAGGGGAAAAAAACCAAGAAAGTCCAGTTGCCTTATTTTTTAAAAAAGCACTTCTGGAACTCCTATGAAATCCAACACACAACAATGATTCACCAGTATGATGCAAACTTTACCAGAAATCCAACTACTCATCTACACAGGGACACAGACAAATTCTTTCTACATACAGGAATGCTACACATGTACATTGAGCTGTTATGAGATGAGTAATGCCCACCCATTTCTGGAGAGCAAAAACCACTTACAGGCAATGCGAACTGAAGCCTTCCGACTTTTGGAAGTTCCTAGGAGGCTCCAGGCCACACACTGGCACCAGTAGTCTTCAGGTCCATGAAAGTCCTCTACTTGCTGCCTTGTCACATTGATGTATGCTTCCCGAATCATCAAGCCTGAATGCGAAAGATAGAAGAATAATTAGCTGATATAAAATGTCTTATTCAAACATAAATGCTAAGGTTAGCCAAATCTTTTCTTTTTAATTAAACAATTCCATTTTTAATCAAGGCAAAGTTTTAATGATTCAAATGACTAATATATGGCTCTTAATTAAATGCTCACCACAAGTAGGTCAGGATACAGGAGCTAAAAGTATGTGTCTGCAAAAAAAGGGACTTCAGAACCAGCAGTATCTGCCTTTAAAATCTTTTGCTAGCATTTCCCATTCTACAGAAGTAACACTTTGTTTAACTTAAAAAAAAGATTGCAAAACATTATATAATACCTAGTCGTCTAATGAAATGTAACTGTAATTCAAAGCATATTTCTTCATTGAAATCATCAGGATTTGCTTCTAGGTGAATGAGAAGCATGAGGTTGGTCTGATTTCAGATTACATGGTTCAGACCGAGCAGAATAACAAGCAAAGAACTGATTGAGCTGGATATAATTAAGAATTACACAAGAAGTGCAGTTCAATGGTTCAAGGATTCAAAAGAGCCTATCACACTTATTACAATAGCATGCTTGTGGTTTTTCATATTAACTGTTGGTTTATGCAATTGGAGTCCCATCTTTCTAGCTAAATGTTCAAGGAGCTAATAATAGAAACAATTGAACAAATCCAGAGTCATAAAAACAACTGATAAAGAACAAGGACAAACAGCACAGTGAAAAAGGTAGGCCTTGGAAAGTAGCTACAGTGTGCCTCAGCAAATTGCATAGTATAAGGAAGACACAATGACTTCTTGTAAAGGGGGCTGCATTGCTCAACTGCATTCGATGCTTCATGAATGAACTTTGAAGCATTCTTTGAAGCCCTAAAATCATCACAGCAATAGCTCTTAGAATTATATACCACTTCAGAGTGTTTCACAGCCCTATCTAAGTGGTTTACAGAGTCAGCATATTGCCCCCAACAAGTTGAGTCCTCATTTGACTGACCTCAGAAAGATGGAAGGCTGAGTCAACCTTCAACTGGTCAGGATCGAACTGCTGGCAGTCAACTAGAATTAGCCTGCAATACTGCATTCTAACCACCTATCATAGTCTTTCTGTAAAGCTGAGGTGACGTTTCACTAATGTGAAATAGAACAGAATCCATCCTGTTGTTTGTGGGAGTCTCAATGTGAAATCCCATCAGAGCATCCCTAAGTAGCATTGGTTCCATGCATGATTACACCCCCTTCAGATAACAAAGACCATGAAAGAAGCTCTTATGGTCTATTTATTTATTCCTGCCATTCAGTATCACACATGAATAAAAAAACTTCTGTATGGTATTTTTAAAATGTGACCCCAGTGAAGACTTTGGCAGAATCTTTGTTCCTGATGCACTGGGTATAAAGTAGACACCTTAACTTTAAGATGCTATGAAATACAGAGCTAATATGTCATACTTGGAATTGCAGGTAATAAAGCATATAGCAATTATATGGTTCTGCCCACACCCTAATATACATTTAATCTAAAGAAGCAATTTTTTTTGGGGGGGGGGCTTGGAAGCCAATGCAGGATCAGATATTGCTGAGTGAATTAACAGTACGTTCAACAGATGGAATACATTTTTTCAGCAACAATTACAGCAGGGGGATATCTGGTTGGTAATTATTAACACAAGAGAAATAAAGGGGCTACAGGGATACACGTGTTTCCTCTCTGAAATGTTGAAAGACATGCAAATTGTAAACGTTCCTAAATTAATAATACTGAACCTTAATTGTTTCTATTAAACCTGTAAGAAAGAGGCAAGTCATTTTGTAAGACTGCACAGATACCTTGCAAAACAACTCATCTACATCTTATAAAATAATTTTCCAAAGAGTTTCATGTACATTGGTCAAGCCTGGTTCTCCATCATGTCTATGGCTTAGGGAAATAATTCACATTTAATGAAGATGTAGGCAACAACATCAGTGGGTAACCAGACCCAATCTTTTGCTCAGCATAAGCTCTCTGATTGAAAGCAGAGCTTGCAGAAAGCATGAAAATCAAGTTTGCATAAAACAGAGACATTCCTTTATAAGAATGCTGAAATGTAAATAAGCAAAACATTAAAACCACGGGTTCAGGAATGCTTGCCACTTTGCAAATGTCAATCCTGTGGACACTTCTGTAAAATCCACACTCAAATATTCCAGCATTGCTAGGCAAAAACCCTTTTTAAATATTTGGAAAAAAGCATTCAAAACCTCTATTGAATGAATTATCCAGGAGATGCATGACAAGGCTGAAGACATAATGACTGACTTCATATATTGCAGTGAACTATGCTTGATGGTGACATTTTGATTCTGGCTTTGCATCTGATAGAAGATCAGACACTGTGGTATTTAAACTACCATTTATATCTTAAATGCAACCTCTATTAACTCTAGTAAGCAAGACTCACTCCTCGTAGAAGAAATATAGGTTATGAACCAAGCCAAAAGTTGTTTTTGGTGAGTTGAGATAAATATGTTTGAACCATGATAGCATGGAGTACACACTTTTATCCCCAGAGCCAACCACAATTCTTTGCATGGAGATCAAAGAACAAGCTGGTGCACATCATCTATAAAGGCCTTCAAGACAATCATGATGCTGGAGAGGTATCTTCCATCACATCTGAAGACAATGGGCTTACAAGAGAAGCACAAGAAAACCCAGAGAAGTCCCTGTTTCTTTTTGCTGCTGCTTCTCTGCATTAATTGCCTGAAATGCCTCTTTCTTTTATGCAATGGTAGGCCAGGCCCTCTTTGTCCCACCCCAGTTGTACCTTCAAATGGTGATTCAATAACTCCATTCTGTTTGATTAAAGTCAGAAGCAAGTCAACAGAAACCAGTATATACACTTAAATAGCATACAAATGTAGGTGTGATGATATATACAGTATGTATCTACATCAACATTCAAAGACAAAGCAAACTCTGCTTTTTTTTCTAGCACTGTTGGGTGTTGTGGCCCAGCATGAGCCGTTGGAGCTGCCACCAGACTCCGACAGTGAGGGGCCCTATGAGTCGGCTTTGGAGGATGTGGAGGCCTCTGGACAGGGTTCCGACTCCGAGCAGGGCGCAGAGAGGCTGGTTGGCCACCAGGAGGCGCCTGAGCCTTGGACCAATAGCAATAGCAGTTAGACTTATATACCGCTTCATAGGGCT